TAGGTTTGAGATATTGTATCTTGAAAAAGCAGCGTTTTTGTATCTTTCAGCATATGTTTAACATTCATGTAAAAACTTTAATGGTTAACACTTACGTCGCATTCTGACCATTCTGACCATTCGCCCATGACTGCTTTACGGGCAGCATATTCTATAGATTCTGGACAAATTTGCGTGTCAGCGTCTTTACCAGGGATTTCATATTCAGTCATACCGCAACTGATACACCGGACCCGCGTTCTCGTCTGAACAAACTGTCCATTGACCATTTCACAGTCATCCCAAGGATTCCATTGCGTCCAAGTTGGACAAGGGCATTGGTAACACACCTTGGTTTGTCGCGAGAGACCGACGCAATCGTTGCCATGCAGGCATGTCCGCCCTCGGACACGACTCCCTTCGCCACATGGAACAGAGCAAGGTGTCCACGCTTGCCAATCTGACCAGGTTGGGCATGGACCTTGAAAGCATTCTTCGGTAAACAGCGATTCGCCAGTACAATCTTCTCCGGGCACACCACCTATGCAGGTTCGTAACTTCGTCTTGCGTCCCCTTCCGCAAGTGACACTGCATGCTTCCCACTCACCCCAGTTGCTCCATCGTGGACATTTTTTCAGGAGACATGGCTTTTCTTCTTCGAGAAGTTCGGTGCCACACTTGCGAGTTCGAATCTGAACTCCACTGCCGCACGTAGCACTGCAGTGTCCAAAAGAAGACCACTGTGTACAGCACGGTGGCAAGTTTGGACATGGCTGTGTCACGAACGACGGACCTACGCACATCGTTCCATCAGGGTCTTCTCCAATACATTTGCGAAACTTTTTCTGAGTTCCCTCACCGCATGTGGCACTGCATTCTAACCAGTTTCCCCATTCTGACCAATAAGCGCATTCCCTTATCATGCACGTGGCGGTTTCCTCAACCGAACCTTAAAAAAATATGCATGGACTTTTAAAAGAGCAAAAATGCACCTTCTTACCTATGCAAGAATTTTGCCCATTGCTGCAAATTCGCGAACGACGTTTAAGGCCAGATCCACTGAAAAAAATATTTGGCTTTTAAATGATACGCTAAAAAAATCGGCAATTTTTGTTTCTTTGAGATTACTTGCCCATCTGATGTATTGGACATGTATACAACACTAGATTTTCTCAACCACCAAGATTCTCTTTTGATATTTAACTATTTTTAGAAACTTCTATTCTGAAAGACCTATTTTTGTGAAACCTGTTCAATAATTTCAATCACTGCTTTTTGAGAAATCAAATAAAATATGGTCTCGATGTTCTGAGGCAATTTTAATGAGTGGAAGCTTTCAATACCTTTTCAAACGCTGCCACCCGATTTACACTGTGAAAACGCATCGTGTAAAGAAACAAATTTGATTTCTTACTTTACAGCAATGCTGCAGCCGTGTAAGACATAGAAATCTTTACATGGGGAAGTAGCGCATTATTGCACCATACGTTTTTTATTCCCAATATTTCTAAGATCCAATGCATCAACTTTGTCCATTTTGTGATACACAAACTCTGGCATTTTTACCCGTACCTCATGAGCCAATGTCAAGGTAATAGCTGACATGTCAGCTGCATGTTGGCGATGATTGTCATTAGTAGTTGATTCGTGCAAACTACCTCTTGAAGAAAATCCGTAAGATTTACGTCAAAATATCTGGCTTGGTTTATTACCAGGCTAATCAACTGCGTTACATGTTCTGGAAATTAACAGTGATGTACTGCATTTCAATATGAACAGCAAAACACGAATAAACCAAACGAGAAACATTATATTCAGCGGATACGAGAGAGACATTTACAAACAACATCGCCCGACGGTTTCAATGGATATCGCTGATGGACGCTGATGTGCAAACCGAGTGGGAGCTCTTTAAGAGCAGCATTCTCGAGGCTGTCGCCGAATGCCGCGGATTCAATCGGAGTAGCCGCCGCCTGGAGATCAGAAAAGAACTACATCGTGGGTACAGGGAGAGCTGGCAGTAAAACAGAAAGCCGCATTCAAAAAACTAAGAGCCTTCTACTCGCGTGCAATATGTCGAAGCACCCAAGGCGGGAGCGAACGTAGTGCAGAAAGCAAAAGCTGATTCCTGGGAGAAGTTAGGTGAGGTGTTGCAGTCGAATTTCCACATGGCAAACAAAGTATTCTGGCAGACCATACACTGGCTCCGAGGAGAAAAGAAGAGAAGTCACAGAGTCTTGAGGGACAGGTCAGGACACCCGCTCACCAAGAATGAAGAAGACCTCTAAAGCAACAGGGAAAGAATATTAGGATTTCTGTATATGCAAGCTGTGAAAAACTTGAAAAGTAGAAGGGCTGCTGGAATCAATGAATTCCACCCTGAAATGCTCAAAGCAACAGGCGAACAAAGCATGTGCAGGATTACACGTGTCTTTCGAACTGCAATGGCTACGAAGAGGATCTCAGCGGACTGGAAAACGGATG